TAAATATGCAGGGGGATCTCCCGGGATACCATCCTGTAGTCCCAAAATAAACACACAGCAATAACACAAAGAATACACAATTCAATTCAAATTCCATACCAAGGTAAACACAGGTATTTCTTGCCTAGCATGCTGCACATAATCCAAATAAGACAGTTTGAGCAAATAAAACAATTAAGTATATTAGACATGTTTCCCTAAGCTAACAACATGCTTAAATTGCAAGTAGTATAAACAGGAAAGGAAACACAATTATAGTTACTTAATGAAAACCGGAATTTTCAACAATTAACACAAGTATGCACTCGTCACCTCACGTACAAGGCATCTAAAATATCAATAATACCAAATCCTAAGGGGAGTTTTCCCCCCACAAGGTTAGACAAGCCACTTACCTCGAACCGGTTCAAAATCAACCTGAAACCACACTTTTGCCACGAGTACTCAACTCCAAATGGCCCAAATCTATTCAAATCAATTGCATAATATAAATAAAACTTCAAGTAACTGATTCCACTAATTAATTCTAAGCTAATATGCGAAATTGAGAAAAATGACCAAAACGCCCCTCGGTCCCATGTCTCGGAACCAGGTAAAATTACAAATTCAGAATCCTTATACTCTCACGAGTTCATTTATACCAAAATTATCTCGATCCGACATCAAAATCTAGATCAAAACTGCAAAAATTAAGCCTAGGAACCTTTCCAACTTTTCTCCAATTTTTCCACTCCAAATTCGAATTTAAAGGATGAATTTAAGCATAGATTCTTGGAAATTAATCAAAACCGAATAAGAATTACTTACTCAAAACATCCAGGTGAAAATCTCTCTTAAAATCGCCAATCCCGAGCTCCGAAATCAATTTTCCAAGTTTTGAAACTAAACCCTCGTTTCTGCCCTTTTCTGACCAGTGAAACCGGATCTGCGCTTTGGGACCGCACATGCGGTCCCACTTCTGTGTAGACCAAGTCGCACCTCTTCTCATTAAAACCAATTTTCCGCTTCTGCGACTGCCTCTCCCACCTGCGGTCTCGCAGGTGAGTTCCCCTTCTCGCACCTGTGGCTTCTGGAGCCTGGGCCAATTTTCGCTTCTGCGGTCACCTAGCCGCTTCTACGGCGTCGCACCTGCGGTCCCACACACGCAGGTTCGGTTATGACAACAAACTCAGCAGCTTCAGCTGCACATTCCCAACTCTAAACTTCCCGTTAACCATCTGAAATCTTCCCGAGGCCGCTGGGACCTCAACCAAAAGCACGAACAAGTCATATACCAATATCCAAACTTATACAAATATTATTCAAAACACCTAAAACAACATCGAAACATCAATTTAACCATGCATTCAAGCCTAAAAACTCCAAAAACTCTCAAATTACGTTTTCGATCAAAAGGTCTATCAAACCTCGTTCGAATGACCTGAAATTTTGCAAGCACGTCATATTCAACACTACGAAGCTACTCCAACTTCCGAAATTCTATTCCGACCCCGATATCAAAATCTCACTATCGAACCGGAAACTTCAAAAATTCAACCTTTGGCATTTCAAGCCTAAATAAGCTACGGACCTCCAAAACAGAATCCGAACACGCCTTTAAGCCCGAAATCACTCAACGGAACTAACAGAACCAATGGAATTCCATTCTGAGGCCGTCTTCATACTGCTCCGACTACGGTCCAAATTCTAAAACTTAAACTCTCATTTAGGGACTAAATGTCCCAAAACTCTAAATAAATCCTCCAGATGACTCACAATAGCAGAAACAAACACGGGGAATGTAGTTAATAGGTGGATCAGGGCGTTAATTCTTAAAACGATCGTCCGGGTCATTACAAATGCACTCTTCGAGCCTCGCCTCCCTTAGCGTGGCTGTTGCCCTCTCAGATTCTGCTCGGATTTCCCCGTCCACTCAGCACTCAAAGCTTCCACTCTAGCGGCACTTTGATCAAGTTCAGATTGCAACGACAACACTTTCGCCTGAAGATGCTCACACTCTGCAGCGACCCCCTTTCCCAACTCAAGTTCTTCGTCCTTTGCGCGAAGTAGCTCCTTGAGCTCACTACTCTTACGAATAGACTACATCAGCTCCCGATCCCTCTTCTCCAGCTCCTCCCCGAGAGATTGATTGCATGTGCTCACCTTGAGCTGCTCATGCATATCACGACATTTGTTGCGGTAACGCCGATACTTTTCCAGCATTATCAGAAAAATCTTGGCTCAAGTTTCGGCCCTGTGAGCACTCTCGATCTCCAGCATGTAAGACTGAAAGCAAAGAAAAAAGTCAGTGAAGGCCAAGGTCGCCAAAAAAATGGGGACAAAAAAAAACAAGAGGAGAAACTTACCCTTAGGCCCATAGCAGCACTTCATGCGATAATTCGACGTCGCTAATGTCCCGAAGAGCCTCACACTCTACGGCAAGCATAGAAGATCGAACTGCGGCACCAAACCCTCTGTGTCCCGCAGAAGATTGAGATCCGATGGAATCTGAAGTATACGGGAAGGACCTCCCGCTCTTACCACAGTACGGATAAAGCCCTCCTCGAACATCCTGGCATCATCAGGATCAAGGTCGAAGTCAGACTCGTAATCATCGACCACAACACCCTTTCCCCTCTCTGCGGCTGAAGAAGAAGCGTGATTCGGTCCGGATGATGAAGGGCCTCCCAAAATGACAACAATAGCCTCGGGACCCCGTTTGTCCATCGCAACAGCCTGTTGATCGTTCACAACGGCCGAAGCCTCTGCCATTGGGTTGGACTCTGCCACCTGGTTTATCTCTACGGTCGGGTTAGCATCACTGCCTATTTCAAACACCACCAAGGGAGGGTCAGCCCCCGAAGATGCTTCGGCTAAAGAAGCCACTTCAGACTCCACTCGCTGTCTCTTCGACGGACCCTCTTTGCTACTAGCACGGGAGGATTCTCCCGTTGAGCAGACTGTAGGAGCCTGAGTCTTAGGTTGTGAAGTAATTTCTATGCGCACGGCCTCGTCCGCCGGTGCAAATTGAGTAGCTCTCGATGCAGGCTGGGCAGCAGACATCGGTGCGGGCTGGGTAGAAGGCACCGATTGACGGAACGCGTGTAGAGGAGACCTCGCACTCTCCCTGTCAACAAAGAAAAACGATCATATAGCGACAAGATCAAATTACAAGGAAACTGCAATGGGCCGACTCACTAGTGAGAGGCTTACGCCTGTATCTCTCGTAGAAGGACACCCATTCGTGGACCCCCATTGTATGGGGAAGAATAGCATTTACCCACTTGCGGATGTCGTCAACTGGAGAGGGAGGCAATCTCTCAGCTGCGAAAGCAAAAAACAAATTAGAAATGCCACCTAAAGAGGAATGGTCGGCCAACACCTCGAGAGGAGTCACAAAATAAATAAAGGAAAACTTATGGGCGAAGTTCCACGTCTCGGGAAACCCTGCCTGGTCTGCCACAAGGTGCTCGGTTCGTACGTAGAAATAGCTTTCCCAGAAACGGTGCCATAATGATAATGGCTATTCATGATGCATTGAATCACTACAACGATTCAACTCCGAAGGGATGTAACGGTCCGATGGTACCATTGAAGCGTCACGTCGCCACCTCAACCTAAGGATCTCGCTCAATGCGTAACATTCAGATTTCTCCTAACTTTTGAATCGACAGAGTCCGTCCATTGAGCCTGCTAAGAGACGACCTCGACAGACTGTAGGGCTAACTGTATGGGTCAAAATCTAACTAGAATGGTCGTCCTTAAGAGGAATGATTAGGGGTCGACCAAACTGTAATCATGCCCACGGGGCGAGATAGCAAAGAGCACCTCAGCCATCGCCCAAGTCAAATCGTCGAAAAGCGTACATCACAGAACAAGCGTTGTGTTCGAGCAGACGACGAAATGTACAGTCGTTAGAAAGTATGCCGGTCAAAGACCATTGGATAAAAGAGAAAGAAACTATATATATGGTGAAAAAACCCAGATAAAGGGGGGGGGGGCGTTCAGAAGAT